TAAAAGTTATATCAGTGTTATTATAACCCTTCTCATTTTAAAATATATAAATTATTACTTAAACTTTTAAATTTATAATAAATAATTTAAATTGTATCATAAAATTAATTTTAAATAGAAATAAGTAGATTGTTAATTATAAAAGTAAGTATATATATAAATAAAGATTAATTAAATATAATATAATAATTATTATTATTAATATAATTATTATATATTATTATATATTTATAATGGTCCGAATACACCAAAATGATAAGGATCAAAAGATAATATAAGTATGAGATTGGATAGTTGAGGATGACTTAAATGAATTAATTTGTACTACTTATACTAACAACATGCTTCTGCTTTTCGGTAACTTATCTCATAAGAACTTTACAGTTAAGTATGCTTGACTTGGAGTAATATAGGAATGGGTGACCTTCTGGAAAGTTTCCAAAAATTGTGTAATTAAAAACAAAACATGCTAAAAAGTTAAGTATTGTGAAATAAAATCCTTTAGAGGCCAAATATGAGTGATTCGTAGCGACCAAATTTGCGACGTCTATAAAATTTAATAAAATAAAAAATAAATATTTAGTGACCGATTTATTCGGTCATTAATTTGGTCCCATATACTTCAGCGACCAAAATTATTGCAACCATTTTGCGACCGAATTAGCGACAAAAATTTTTTTCGTCGCTAAATAGCTTAGCGACCAGGGTTTTAACGACCGATTAAATTCGGTCGCTAAGGTAAATAGCGACCGATTTTAGTGGTCGCTAAATTGCATATATTTTGTAGTACCTGTACCATAACGACGTCCCTTGTATTTTCCACAGACAACTGCATTCCAACATTGACTCCTAAGTCTATCCTCCTCAATAGGATCTAAAAGGGTGCATTTTGAGGTGCCAATAATGGATCCAACATCAAACACAGCTTGAGAAAATCTAGCTTCAAAATCTTCCTATTATCATCATAAATATTATGTAAAAATAGTGTAAACATTAATAAAATTAAAGACAAATAAAATAAGTAACATAATAGACTCACATGTGTCACGTACGTTCATACTTGTATAATGATTTTATTAACCTAATTGATCCCTTCTTTGGTCTCCCTGTTTCAATTTCATTTTATAACCAAAAAATAAAATTACGCTAAATATTAGTTAAATTTAGTGACCGAATTCAATTCGGTCGCTAAATAAGAAATTTTGATTTTTTTAGCGACGGAATTAAATTCAGACGCTAAATATTAGTTAAAATTAGCGACAGAATTGAATTCGGGCTCTAAATTAGAAATTTTGATTTTTTTAGCAACGAAATTGAATTCGGTCGCTTTTGTTGTATATTAATAATGGGGTAGAGGGTGTCACAAGCATCATCATCTAACTGGTCCTCACCTGCAAATGACTTCTAACCTAAACACAAATAACACAAAAAAAGTAAGGAGTGAAATACATCTCACTACATGTTTCCAATATGTGAAAATAACAGTCGGGTAATACACAACATACAAACATATAATTGTTGTTGAATGTTTCATCATAATCAATGTCTTCCACTTAGTTGCATCCTTTTGCAATTAATCTAGCTTTGTTACTTATGATGATGACAAACTCATCAAGTCAGTCCCTATAAACCTATTTAGTCCCTAATATTGGATGATCATTTAGTTTAGGTACCAACTCCAAAACTTTTTTCCTTTTTACTTGGTTTAACTATCCTTGCTTATCAAGAAGCCAATATTCATCCAATAAAACTTCATCAATGGATTTAGGCTCAACTTAAGAAACAAAGGTCATAATGTTACATATGTTTTTAATAGTGTCTAGTGGTTACCCTTTTTCAACTCACCAATAATGTTGTTAAGGGACAAATCTCAAGTAATCTTTTGCTCCTTAGGCAATGCATTGCTTGAATCTTCATTAGTATCATCAATATTGTACATTTTTTCTTGATTCCTTGATTCATCTTTCATGTAGATATCACTAAGAAAATCTTCAACATCATCAATTACCATACTTACCTCATTTTGGGGATTAGTCTTATCAAAAGCATGCATAGACTCTTCTACAACCAAGGTTCTTTTATTAAACATCTTATATGCTTTAAAATATAAGATGCATAAAATATTCCTGGATTACTTCACCAACTTTTGAATTAAATTTGTTAAGTTGTTCTTTTTTGTTATTTATAATAAAAGCACTTGCATAAAAAAAACTCTAAAGTAGGATATGTTGGGGTTTCTCCCTTTATAAAGTTCATAAGGTGTCTTTTCAAAATGTTTTATTCACTACAAGAAATTTTGAAATTATAGACAACCAAAATCCATGAATAATCCAAAAATTCATAGGTAACACTTTATTTTCGATGAATTATAGGCGGACAATAATCGGTTAGTAAATTATTCGTTTAAAACATTTACTAATAGATTATAATTTGTGGGTAACTTTTCGACATAATTACCCACGGATTAAACCCGTAGGTAATTACCCACGGATATGTCCATGGGTAATTATCGACAGATAAATCTATGGGTAATTCCGTGGGTATTGTTGATAATATTTTTAAAAAAAATTTTAAAATTGTATTAAATAACAATCATGTTTAAAGATATTAAATCAATAATAATTGTATAAATCAAAACAAGTTTAATCATTCATATAAAATAAAGTGTCAAACATAACATACATAACAAATAAAGTTTAGGGTTCAAATTTAAAAACAGAATACAGTACGATTAGTAGAATAATAACATGATGTCTAATAATATGAATATCCAAGTTAATGTTGTTGATGTTGGAAATTAGCCTGATCATCCTCTGTTGGTTGCCGATTGTCCTGTTGTTGGTCTTGTTGGTGTATGTTTGATTGTTGATGCTGACGTTGAAGAGTAGTCTACATAGTAGGTGGTAGGAATGAAAGTACAACATTAACAAATGTGTTGAACTGAGTTTGATACTGAGAGGTCAAGGATTGAATCTTAGTTTGATACTGGGAGTGCATCTGACGCATCTCTTCCTCATTAGCTATAACTCATTGTGTTAACTGAGAAATCTCCTGTGTATTCTGAGACTGACTTAAAGATGTCCCCACAAAGCTACTATCCTCATTCTCATAAAGATCTCCTCACTATTAGAAAATTGCAAAATAGCGACCGAAATTTATCAATCACTATTTAGCGATTGATTTAGCGACCGATTATGAATAATCAAAATAGTGACCGATTTAGCGACCAAAATATGTTGTCGCTAGAAAATCGATCGCTATTTCGGTCGTTAAATAAGAAATTTTGATTTTTTTAGCGAGGGAATTAAATTCGATCGCTATTTCGGCCGCTAAATTAGAAATTTTCATTTTTTTAGCGATGAAATTTAATTCGGTCACTAAATAGTAGTCAAATTTAGCGATCGAATTCAATTCGATCGCTAAATAGTAATTAAATTTAGTGATGAAATTCAATTCGGTCGCTAAATATTAGTTAAATTTAGTGACCGAATTCAATTCGGTCGCTAAATAAGAAATTTTGATTTTTTTAGCGACGGAATTAAATTCAGACGCTAAATATTAGTTAAAATTAGCGACAGAATTGAATTCGGGCTCTAAATTAGAAATTTTGATTTTTTTAGCAACGAAATTGAATTCGGTCGCTAAATATTAGTTAAAATTAGCGAGGGAATTGAATTCGGTTGCTAAATACTAGTTAAATTTAGCGACGGAATTGAATTCGATTGTTAAATATTAGTTAAATTTTATTGATAGAAGAGATGTGATATCTTAAGGAAAAAAAGAATTATAACATCCTCTCTTTTTCTAATAGGAAGAGTACAAATATATTTTCTTAACTATTAGTATTTCTTTATTGGTGTGTGATAAAATTGATTATTTTAAATTATTTTAAATTATTTAACTAGAATTTTATTAATAATTACTATATAATTTTAATATTTTTGTATAATTAATATCTGATTTTAAAC